GGAGGCCGCCCCGAAAGGCGGAGGGGCGGTGCTCCGGGGCCCGGGCGCCCTCAGCGGCGCCCGCGCCTCGGCAGCCCCGGAGGGCACGTGGGGGGCTGCCTGCCCAGAATTTGCCGACCTTGTGGATCTTTTGGAGTCGATCGCTGATGCGTAGAACCTGGGCCCTTCTTAATTTTGATGTTAAAGTCCAGGCGCAAAAGTGAAGCGAAACACGGGTAGACTGATTGGGGGTGCTTGGATTTGGCCGCCCCTCGCTATACTGAGACACCTGCACACCGGGGAGGCCGCGGCACGACTGCCAGGGTGTCGAGGCCAGCCTGGGATGGCTATGAGTTCGCGGTCAGCAGTAGCAAGACCCTGTCCCCCAAATGCAAAAATAATACAAACAGGGCAGTCTAGCTGATCATCTGAGTTCTAAAAGGATGACTTTTAATCTCAGTTTTTAGACTCTAATCAAGAAAATGGTTTGCTGTGGGAAGAGACTGAAAGAACTGAACTATATCAGGTAATACTTTTCAAATATCATTAGAAGATGTATTATTCAGACTTCTCAAAAAAAGCTTTGTATGAAAAGTCGTTTCACAAATGAGCTGGAGAGTGACCTAGGATTGAAAAGATGGCATCCTCCCAGGTGAAGAACCTGTAACATGCCTGCTATGGTCGCCCACCCAGAAATAAGCAGTAGTGGATGTGGGCTTTAGCGAATGCGGGCTAGCCTTTTTACACCACCTGCCACCCCCCTGATCAGTTTTAGACACTCTCCTTCCTTTTGTAATGACTGCCAGCTCATCACCCAGAAGCAGCCCTCCAGGCTCAGCTAAGTTCCTGTTCTGCGAACTTTTAAAACCAGATCACCAGAGGACCATTGCAGGTGGTGACACAGCATTGACCCTCATGGCTCCCCTCCACTACACACTTCCCATTTACTGAGTATTTACTGGGATGGCTGGATAAATGCTTAGTTTGTCCTAATGGGAACAGGCTAGAAGAGCTCCCAAGATTCAGTCTTCTCTCTTTATAAATTAATGGCTTTCATGGCCTGTTGGAGAATGCAGAAAAAATCCTTGTAATAATCGTGCAGAATTGTCAACTTGAAGAAGTAGCACAGGTTCAGGGTATTTTTGGGTGAGGAAACTTTTTTTGATGGTAGTTAGGTAAGTTACAGGAGGACCAGCTTAGCTCTGTATTTCAGAAGCTTAAGAGAGATATTTTTTTGAATACTGCTAAGATTTCTACTTTGATAACAACATGTATAGTTTCATAAAGAACTACTGAAACTAAAAAATGAAATATGCCCCTCTTCTTCCACTACCTTCAACAGATTTTTGCATCTCAGAGGTAACCATTGTCATGTTTAGCTACTTCCAGACTTTTTCAGTGTATAGTTCTGTTTTCTTTTTGTAATGCTAGGGATTGCATCTAGGGTTTTGTGCATACTTGGCAAGTACTCTACCACTGAGCTCTCATGTATTCTGTATGTTACTACACTGTGCATATAATTTTAATCATGAGTATTTTGATAAAATCTTTATATTAAAGGGTTTTTCTTGAAACTAATTTTTGTGTTCCTTGTTTTCTGAGAGACTCCACATGTATCGTTCTCTGAATTGGATACTCTACTCCCAAGAAGCACCGAGTTACCTGTAGACTGGAGTATTAAGACTCGGCTCCTTTTCACCTCTCCTCAACCGTTTTCCTGGACAGATCATTTGAAAGCACAAGAGGAGGCTCAAGGTCTTGTCCAGCATTGTAGGGCAACAGAGGTTACTTTGCCTCAAAGTATGCAGGTAATTCTGAAATAAAGTGACTGGGTTATTGCTTTGTTTTGTTTTGTTTTTCTTGTCTTTTTGAGACAGGGTCTCGCTGTGCAGTTCAGGCTGGCCTTGAGCTCGCTTTGTAGCCCAAGGTCCTGAACTCCCAATAATCCTCCTGCCTCAGCCTCCCTGGGTGCTGGGATTACAGGTGTGCACCACCACCCCCAGCTAAAATGACTGTTTTAAAGTAACAAATGTAACTGACAGACTATAATTGCTGGTTACAAGGGCTATCCTAAACAAGCCCCAATTAACAGCTATTAATGCACTTCCATAGAAAGAAATTAAAAGATTCTTAGACCTGTTTGACATATTCAGTGGCTCTAATGAAATTCTATATTTTCCTGGGTCCAAAATCACCCATTGTCCTGTCTGGAATTTAGGATCCCAAACTCTCCACTGAGCTCCGTTGTGCCTTCCAGCAGAGTCTTGTCTATTGGCTCCACCCTGCCTTGTCTTGGCTATCACTGTTTCCTCGTATTGCAGCTGATAGGAAAATGGCTGGAAAGACAAGCCCTTGGTCAAATGATGAAACCCTGCAACATGTATTAATGAGTGACTGGTAAGATTTATAAAAAGATACGTGCAGTGCAGTCTTGAATTTTTATTTTAGCAGTATTCTCTCTTTAGCGTTTTTTGGTTTGGGGTTTTTTTGTTTTATTTTTGTTGGGGTTTTTTTGATACAAGGTCTTGCTGTGTAGGTCAGGCTGGTCTTGAACTTGTGGCAGTCCTCCTGCCTCAGCCTCCTGGGATCATAGGCACGTGCCACCATATCTTACTGTATTTGTTATATGGAAATGTATAGTAGCATCTCTCTGTCCCAAATTTTATCAGAACAGGTAAATAACTAACATTTAAATTGCTTGCTTGTTTTTTAAACTCTCATCACTATTACAATATGAAATGTGTATGTGTTAGATTAATATAGGCGAGTATAATTCTTTAATATTCTTATCAGTGACTACGTCCATCTATATCAGAAGTTCAGAGAAAGTCAGCAACCAGTTATCAGGTTTTGTTGAAAAAAAATGGTTAGTGTTTAGGTGGTCAACACTGTAAAAAGTATTGAGAAGTCATCAATGAGTCCACATTACGAATTTCAGTCCCTTACAGCTAACTTGTACATAACTGCAAAAATTCAAACCACTGTCTATAAAGTATTTATGTTTTAAACTGAGTGTCAGACTAAATTAAAGTGTCAGATTAAATTTTAAACATTGAGCTAAATATTTAATAATATCTAAAGAAAACTCTTTTGCTTCATAGGTCTGTGAGCCTTACTTCTCTGTATAATCTGCTGAAGACAAAGCTTTGCCCCTATTTCTACGTTTGCACCTATCAGTTTACTGTCCTGTTCCGTGCAGCAGGATTAGCAGGAAGTGATATGATCACAGCTCTCATATCTCCTACAACTAGAGGTTTAAGAGAAGCTATGAAAAATGAAGGTAAAAGTTTAGGTTTGAAGTGATGATATGGGCCAGGGATATAGTTCATTGGCACAAGCACCTGCCTGGCAAGTGCAAGGTCCTGAGTTCAATTCTTGGTACCAAAAAAGAAAAAAAAAAAAACAAATAAAATGATGATAGCACAATTTATATATGAAATGTCTGCTATAAAAGTTAAAGTTTGAATTGCCTATTTTTACAAAAATGTAGTATCTGGATTTCCGTGTTTCTCTGCATTTGCTTAAACCGTCCCTTACAATTTTAAATGAATAGTGTTCCTCTCTCTAATCTCTGAAGTAAAACACATAATGGACTGCAAAGTCAGTATCTGATACACTCCCTAGAAAGTCTTTTCTAGAACACATTACCTACCTCTGAATAACATGATTTTCAAAATAGGTTAGCTGATCTGTAAATCATGAAGTCTATCTATAGACCCAACAGCACATTTTCAGAAAGTAAATTAGTGTAATTTATGAAAAAATATCCCATGTACCAGTATCACTGTTTCCTGAAGTGTTTGTTTCAAAGAGAGGTGTGTGCTTGTTGATGGTCTGATGCGGGCCACACTCAAGAAAATCTTGAGGACTACATTAATAGATGAAGTATAAAGTTTCCCATTTCAAATTTGAGGTACTCTATGCCAGTGATGGCCAACGTTTTAGAGCTTTCAAGGTTAATAAACAGCCCCCTGCAGAGTACATGCCATAGGTTTGCCACCATTGCTCTGTACTATGTAAGTAGGGCATTCCTGTTAAGTACTGTTAAAGTAAACTGAGTTTATGTTTTTATATTCTTATGTAGGTATTGAATTTTCTCTGCCTTTAATAGAAGAAAATGACCATAAGAAGAAAGCATATGGAACAAACTTGGGACATGGGGAGTACGTGATTAAAAAAATCCTTACATCCAGGGATTTATGGATTCAGTGAAGTAGATTTGTAAAAGTACCAGCTTTGTGAAGTGGAAATTCTAACTATAGCAATTTCCTAGGGAGCAGGCAATCAGTGATGAAGATGAAGAGGAAAGTTTTTCTTGGCTGGAAGAGATGGGCGTGCATGATAAAATTAAAAAGCCAGATACACTGTCGATCAAGCTGTATCCTTTCAGTTGGTATTAACAAGAATTAGTTTTTATTGAATTGTTAATGAACAATTCTTAGTTTGTGGTTTTTAATAACTAATTTTTGTTTGTTTGTTTGTTTCCAGTACCTGGAATCAAACTCACGACCTTGCACTTGCCAGGAAGGAGCTGTGCCGCTGAGCTAAACCCCCAGCCCCTAGTAACTAATTTTAAATTCAGTTCATCTTAAAACTAACTTTCCATTATGATAGTGAATAACAACCCCTAAATAGTAATAAACCATGGACTCTTAAGCTATTTTAAGTTGTAGGTCAGAAGTTTTTGACTAGGTTTTCTTGTCAGTTTCTAACAAATGTAGCAGGTCAACATTTTTATTCAAACTTACTTATGAATGTTTTGGAAAAGAAGGCTTCTAGCTGATTCATAATCAAGATTACTCCCCCCTTGGTATAGGATTTGCAAAAATTTCCTTGATTGTCATCTTCAGGCGTAAAGAGAAACATGAAGTACAAATGGATCACAGACCCGAGTCTGTTGTTTTGGTAAAAGGAACCAACACCTTTACATTGCTTAACTTTTTGATCAACTGCAAGAGCTTAGTTGCTACCTCAGGTGCACAGGCAGGACTTCCACCAACCCTTTTATCACCTATAGCATTCCGAGGTGCCACAATGCAAATGCTTAAGGTAATTTTTTAAAATTCTGCACTTCACCAGTTCTTATAAAAGTACTTTTTTCTGCGACAGGATCTCTCCATGTAGTTCAGCTGGCCTTGGAACTATGTAGTCCAGGCTAGCCTCAAAGCTGGCAGTGATCCACCTGCCTCAGCCGCCTGAGTGCTGGGATTAAAGGTTTGTGCCACCATACCCAGCTGGCCATATCGTTTTAGATGATTGATTTTTTAAAAAATAACTCTTAGCATTTTGTACTTTGTGTATTTTCATTTTACTTTCCTCTCAGTTTAAAAATCCTTGATATGACAGTTAGGTTACATTATATGAGAATATATTAATTATGAAATGTTTTACTTGGATTATGATTTTTTTTTTTTTCATACTTGGAATTGAATTCTCCAACCTTGCACTTGCCAGGCAGGTGCTTTGCTCTTGAGCTATATCCCGGCCCCAAGAAAGTGTGATTCACAGCTAAAGCACCTTGGTATTTATTTCTGTTCTTGACACTTACATTGCTAAATTTTTGTTTCAGTAATTCATCAGTGAAAGAATATAGCCAAGGATGTCACATTATAGATATCAAAATTTGGATCACTGTTCAATGAAAAGGCTAACTATATATATACTAAATATTAATAGCAATAAAACTGATTTTAGTTTTCCCAGTATTCCATATTCATAGTGTATTATTAAATCAAAGATGGCTTATGCAAATGTAATACTCTGTACATCAAGTGAAAATCTCAATGTGCAGAGGATCCTGAACATGCTGAGAGTTTACTAAACACACTTTAGTTTACTAAACACTTCTAGAAGTGTTTAGTAAACTGTGTTGATATCATAGAAACTAGTTTTACTTTTGTTCTATAACAAACAGAAGAAATTTCAAAGAAAAACACTGAAGGGCTGAGGATATAGTTCAGTGACACAGTGCCCGCCTGGCAAGGCAAGATCCTGAGTTAAAAAAAAAAAAAAAATTGAAAAAGTATTGGGACTTTTTTTGATGGTACTAGGGATTGAACCCAAGGAGCACTAAATGTATCATTCCCAACCCTTTTTATTTTAGGACTCAGTTGCCCAAGTTTACCTTGAATATGCATTCCTTGTCTCAAGAGCTAAGATTATAGGCATGTACCTGGTAGCTTATAGGCCTGTTCCCCCCCTTGCCTGGCTCTTGAGCACATTTTTAGCTAAGGAACAAGGGCCTGAGATAGGGTTATGTAATTTTTTTCTTTTTCATTTACATGAAGGCACGGAGTGTTAATGTAAAGACACAGGCTCTTTCTGGATACCAAGATCAATTCTCTTTGGATATTACCGGTCCAGTTATGCCTCACGCTCTACATTCTATAACCAGGCTACTGAAATGTTCACAGAGTGGGTCATTCTCTGCAAGACTGTATCCACATGAGCCAACAGCTGTATTTAATATCTGCCTGTCACTGGATAAAGTACTGGATAAAGTAAGTAGCTTCCTATACAGACTTTTAGTTCGAGGTAATTTCCTTTAGCTGGAGGAAAGAAGTCATTTATGAGGTGAATTTGAGCTTGAAGTTATGAAACATTTATTGTATCAAGTGGGAGGGAGAAGGAGGTAAAAAATTAAGATATGTATATGCAACTCTCCACAATAAATGTAATCATATACATCAAACGTGCTAATTAAATTGTGATCATACTAAAACCACTAAAGGAGTAAGTTGTCTTTATGAGGTAAATTTTATGAATTTAAGCTATTGTACTGTAAGAATGACTGCAGAAATTTCCCTAACATTAAAAACATCTTAGGGTTTGGTCACTCTGCACAAATTCTCAGGATCAACTTCTATAATGAATTACAGGAATGAGCCATGTGAGTCTTCACGATAGTCATTTTAATGTGAGTGTTCGGAGGCTAATGTGCTTTCTCAAAGACTTAATGTGTATCTATTTCCACAGGAAGTTAATAAGGAGCTTGCTAACTGTGGGTTGCACCGTAAGACTCTGGAGCAACTTAGTCAAACACCATTACTGGGGAAATCATCTTTACGGAATGTGGAAATGAATAACTACATTTATAATTGGAGATCCTGAACAGCAAAGTAAGCCTAAAAGGAATCTTTGAGGAAAAAAACCTCCTAGCAAGGAAATTGAAGATTCTTATACCTTTGTCTTTAAAGAAAGGAACATACTTTAAAATACTGAAATGTTTACAAACATTCACTTCTTAATTTTATTACATACATGCATTGAGTAATAATATAAAGGTTTTAAATCAACATTGGTTTTACTGTTTCATACTAAAGTTTCAGGTATGAAGATGATGCAGTTTTTCTTAAAACCCAAGTAACTTGAATAAGGAATCTATGCCTATAAGCTATTTGTAAATGGAGTAGAAAACCAAATTAAAGTCAGTGTTTCCTTATAAATGACAAATTGAGAGTAAATCTGTACCAGTTATTTCATGACATTGACTAAAAATATTACAACTTACCTGAGAACAGGTTATTGTTTACAAAAGTAGAAAATGATGTAGACACTATCTGAGTTGATTACTGATGCTTCTACCAAAGCATCTTAGTGATTTATAGTTTCTCTATTCTCAAATATAAATTTTTTAAAATACATGCTAATAAACTCAGATAAAAGGATATTTTGGACTCCATACAGAATAGCATTAAGAGTTGGATACTCAGTTACCATGACAAAGTACTACTTAATGTGTTTATAGGGTGTGTGTGTGTGCGTGTATGTTTGAAATTGTTTAAATAAACATGCTTAGATAATAGTACTTAGTGAAGATGTATATGTTCACTTTATGGTCCAGAAAATAAAACACCACATTTATTCCAGAGAAGTTTGTATTTGGGCCTTAAGCTTTTGAAAATAAAGTTTAGAGACATAGCATATGAATACCACTGTAATACACATGAAATATTCTATCAGACCCTAAAAATTAACATAAACTTTCTCATAGTCAACAAAATAGTGGCTGGTTGCCAATTTTATTAGATAAGTTGGTTACAGCATTTTTTTAATTATCATTTTACGTCTACCTAGGTGTAGCTGAAATTCAAAATGCACATCAAAGTAAAACTATATCACAACTCAAGCCATACTAAATGTACTTGGCCTCTGCAGTAGATTTCTAGTCAGACTTCATTTTGACTCCCTTCTTATGACCCAAGTGGCTTTAATGGGAATGCAGGACTTAGTGCTGATCATCACACAACATACCACTTTCTTTTTATAACTTCTACAAAATTTTAAGGGAGGATGGTGGCATTAGCCCTGTGGAACAGATCTTGCTTGATTACCTCAATAACACTGGCCCAGTATCTGTCCAGCAGAACCCATTTTGAAATAGTACAAGGTGCACAGCCCTTCACTGATTACAGGCAAGTGTTACAGCAGCCTAGCCATAAGGAAGGGGAGTTACATCATAGTACAAAATACAGTATAAAAGCGTTATTTAACATTCCACACTGAAGATTACTGATGCCTTCAAACAATTGTTTGGATGTTAGCCACTTAAACAAATACATCACTAAGGTAAACAATATAAACATACCAAAACCCTGTATGGTTAAATACAATTTCCATGGTACAAAAATCAAAGCCTGGAGATGTTTGTACAGATTGCTTTTTACACAATGTCTTAAATTGCCAAATATTTACAACATTAAAGAGGAAATACATTGTGATGCAGAGTAAAATTATCTGAAATGATTAATATAAAACCTCAATCTATCTACGTGAGGCACTCCTGAAGCAAGTGGCATTAGCCATGAGGTCCTTTGGTACAAGGCCCATTGCTTGAAGAACCACAGTAGCTGCTGTGGCTTTAGCATGCTTCTTATTAGGGCTGGCAAAGCTGGGCTGGTAAGCGCTTCCATTTATCAATACCTATTCAAGAAAAACATACAATTGGGCTGGTAAGGGCTTCCATTTCTCAATACCTATTCAAGAAAAACATACAATAAGAACAGTATCAAACTTTAATATCTATTAGCTTTGTATTTTTTCACTAAATGCTAGAAAAATAATTTTTAAAATACATAACCCATACTATGTAGTTTGAATTAATCTCAGCCCAGAAGCAGCAAATAATTTGGGAAAATAGACTGCAAATTAAAAGCAGTTTTCTAAATTTTTTTTTTTAAAAGCTTGATAAAAATTTAATTTCCCCACATTCCACTAGAGTTATCAACAAATTATTCACCAAATTTTGCCCACATCTTTCCCTCTGACTTTTTAAAAATGGTACACTCACAAATGCTATTAAAATATGCTTCAAAGTTTAAAAGCCCCACCACTCTGGCCACACATACATGTATCCACAATCCACAGAATACTGCGATTGTATCATGTTTGTCCCCTTCACCCCTCTAAAATTAAGTCATCAAATTAAATATATGCTATTAGTGCAGAAATTCATATTTACCCTAAAGAGAAAATGTTTGCGATGATCAGGGCCACTATCATGGACCAAGAGAAATTCAGGTGGTTGCCACCTTCTCTTATTACAGATTTCCATCAAGGCAGACACAGGATGTTTGCCTGCAAGAGAAAAAAAAGTTACAAATTATTTCCACCAACTTCCACAGCAAAACTGAATTCAGGGTATGGGTTGGAAAAGAGGCCATTAAAAAATGTTCTCTCACCTGATAGATCTTTCATTGCAGCAGAGAAGTTCCCAGACCTCTTTTGTGCTCTTTCTCCTACAGCAACAAGACCTAAAAAAAAACAATGTTCACCAACTCAGCATTAAAAGCATCATTTTAAATGTAGAAAAACAAAAATGCCCACTGTAGAAGCCTGATTCATAACCCATGCCTTCAATATTCAAAGGTTGATACAATGGATTTATCGATGTTCTCATTTACCATTTCAATGTACCTTGGTATTAAAAGTTGCATAAAATATATCTACAAAGCCTAAGACTTTAATATATAAATAGGTGTACAAGTGAAGTGTCATATACTTATAAACATCTCCAGGTTTACTTCTTTACATAAACTTAAGCAGTAGCTACTGATTGCAAATGATTTTATAGGTTTTGTATCTTTTATACAAATGATGCTTGGTCAAGGTGGTTAGGATTTCAAGCCATAAGTGAAAAAAAAAACTCAGTCTCCAAGGATAAATCATTCCCTTTGCCCTATCTAACAAAACCTTCCTTTCTTAACAAATGAGATGTTCTCAAGAGAAATACAAATTCTGCATAACCTTCCTCCATAAATGTATTACAAATGGGAATAACAATATCATGAACCCAAAAAATATAGGTAGTTTTTTAAACAATCCTTTGCTGATCACATGCTAATACATTAACCTTCCCCAATCCCATCCTGAGTAGTGTGCTGTTCTCAGAAATTACACCCAAGTCATGCTGCATAATTCTAAAGAAAATACTCCCTGGAGTTATGCAACACACACCTTGTACACACCTAGCCTGTTTCCAAATTCATTAATGATTTGACTTCCACGAACCCACCTTAACTGTTTTGATTCCAAAGGTAAAAATAATTTCCTACTCCTTTAAATTGCACTTAAACAATCTATTCAAGCAAGCAGCCACTTGTGATTCCAATTATATTATTCCAAGGGAATATATTACTTAAAGGAACCAACTGACTGTTACTAAGTGTATTAATACTCAGCAGCTACATGGAGGCTATACAGGTGTTCTTGTGAACCCCTAGTATCCCAAGATAATAACTAAGTATAGCAGTGATAACAGTTCCAAGGTGCCCCAACACAAGGCAATACAAAGTTAACAAGCAGTTGGTCTACTACTCTTCAACCTTAACATGACCGCTGGCATGAAAAGGACCAACAAAAATGGTACAACCTAAACTATCAGAGAAAGAAAAAATCGAATCTTGGAAATAAAATCAACCATATGGTCCCTATCAAGAGAAAGCAAAATGGAATCCCAAATGAAATCTAAATATGTAGTCCAAATTAGGTAAGTGAAAATTTCCATATATGGCAACTCGCATGATGAAAGATGCCTTTGAAAAAGTTCTAGTATCTCTGGGTGTGAAGAAAAAAAAACAAACTCCTATGTATGAAAATGAGTGAAAAGTTTTTCTTGACAGTGCAATATACAAGAAAGGCCTACAGGTCAGGATCACTAGGACTAAAATAACGTATAAAACCCAAATGTTGAAAGAGGTATAATAAACATTTCAAAAAAGAACTTGTTACCTTTTCGGTCTGTCTTAAAATCAACTAGGATAGGTTCTTTATTTCCTTCTTTGTTTTTTCCTAATCCTTCTCCTTCTCTCCAGCCCATTTTTCTCATCAAAACGGCTCCCATTCCTCCAGTTACTGGGGCTGCTCTTAAGAACTGATCCTATCCAAAGAAAGAAAGGTAAAATGTCCCCATTTTACAGTTAGAACTTGACTACAGACTCACTGGTAACTTTGTAAAAAGAGAAATCTTATTTTACTTCTAGATCTGTTACCACAATTACATTTAAATGCTTCTGTGTACTTAAAACATACTGTAATATATATGTTCTAATTATTTTCACATTAACAATAGTATTTTAGTAAGTCAAATGTCAATTTTCAAACAATAGTCCCTCATTCCCCCCTCCAAAAAAAATAGAACACTCCTGTTTTCGTCCACTATTTAGGTTCACTGGTATCTCTTCTTAGCTTGCAAAATAAAAAGAAGGCAGTGTTAAAACAGTCAATAATATTAATTGTCCCAGGTGTACCTAGTTTATGAATAAAGCCCAGAAATCATTTAGAAATAGTTTGGACACTGAAGAAGCATACTGTTGCCATCCAAAGTTTTCTTCCCCATTCTACTATAAGGCAAATATAAATATTTTTACTTAGAAAACCCTATGAAACAAACTCTTTAAAATTACACTGTAATAAACTGAAGGTAATCACACAAAATACCCTGTAAGTATACCAAAATGAACTGGAACTCTTTAAAACCTAGCTTGATGTTAAAAGACTTTTAAAAAACTCCTTAAATGTTTACATACCTAGGCCTCGGTAGCAGCAGTGTTGTGACTAGTACGGCTGGCACTGACCGGGGCAAGAAGACAGCTACAAGGATTTGGCCCTGAAACAAGTTTCCATACAGAGGGGTGAAAGTTCACAGGTTATTCTGTGAACAATCATCTCTCTCGTATCCAACCCACTGAACCATAATTTCCATCAAAGCAGCAAACCACTTAATGTCATAAGATGCACAACTATATACATTAGCATGGTCAACAGTCCATTATTTTCACATTTTAAGAATATTCAATGCCTCGTTTTAATGGGCATCCACATACATGTAACAAACTGCTACTGTTGATCTGTAAGGCGATCTTTTAAAAAAATTTGAAATACACATCCCCAAATACTTTATTTCACCTTGTTACTAAATTTTAGGGCAATGTTCTCTATCAGACATATAGCAAAAGTAATTAACTTATCAACAGAGGTAATCAGAACTATTTGCAGCTCAGGAAATAGTATACATTATCATTCCTTCATTGATAAGTTAATAAATGTTTTTAAAAATCATTTTTTACACAGTCATGAAACTTTTATTTGCTTCCCAGCTTTATAACTAAATGCTGGGGAGAAAACATGCCAATGATTTGTGACTTGACATTAAGTCAACAAGGTGCTCTGATGGAAGGAGGCAGCTGTGGAGGTAAAAACATACCCCTGGTTCAGTTCCTTATTTGGTGCAGGCCATGCAGTGTAGATGTATAAAGAGAAAAGTTAGCTGATGCTTGGATATCAACTGCCTTGATGCTACACACCTAGAATGACTTTTACTTACTTCCAGGTTCATCTGCCCCTCTTTTCCAGGAAACAATCCTAAAAAAAAGGGCAACTGTGCAGACATGGTACAATATAAATCCCCAAAGAGCGCATGTTTTCAATTGTTTCTGTTCTCTAATATCTTCACCTGTTTATTTTACCCAATGTATATGCAGCAAAAAAGCTGGTTAATCTAGTGAGATCACAATGACACACAGTATTATCAAGTTATGTCCAAATAATTTCATTCTAGAAAACAAAAATTCCTTTAATAACCATTATAAATATTTTAATTATGAATTAATATGAACCAAACTTACTTCAAAAAAAAAATACTGCAACAAACTAAAAAAGAACACGTATAATGTTGGAGTTCCCTATTTTTTTAAAATACAGAGTGCTGGGCTACACTAAAGCAAGAAGAGATGAATAAGCACTTGAACAAGTATCTAAAGTACATGTTGGACAGTATCTGTTAGAATTAAATTTTCAGTAATTTTCAATTGCCCAATGACTTCTAAATGTTCTGGCCCATTTTTATAAAATGTTATTTGCTAAATATTAAACATTCTTCAAAAATTCTATACAACTGGTTTTTTTCTAAGAGTTGCTTTTTTCTATAATTTAAAGCATGATCTGATGAACACATCATTACCTCATGATACTCAAAATGATTTGCTTTCTAAACTAAATTTTATATAAAATGTTAAGAATAAAGCCGTTTTAAAGGATTCTACTAAGCATTTTATTTGAAAATCTTGTAAGCTTCCTCCAAGACTGGTAATAGCTGTGGAGCCAATTCAATCAGTGAAAAGATTCACTTTGTAGAAGTTATTATGTTAGGATGGTATTTAGACAGTAAACACTGGACAGCACATCAGTACATAGATAAGACCAAAATTTTGCAATGGAAGCAAAATATATGAACTGTTTAGTATGGCTTTGTTAAACACCATAAGTTTCCAGTCTAACTTCCTGAAGTAAGGAGCACTCCACAGTGTTAAAGAATCAGGGCTTGGGGTATAGTTCAGTAGACCCCATGCTTAGCATGCACAAAGCCCTGGGTTCATTCCCCAGCACCACCCAGAGGGGGAAAAAAGGTTCATTGAAAATTGTTCCCACTAAGATGAAAGCCATTTTTCAAATACAGTACTATACAAATCACTTTAATTTTAACTGTAATATATTAGTATAAAATTTAAAATTAATTCAAACTCTTAAAATATTTGCTAGATTAATATCAACCCCCCGGTAAACTAAGTTTTAATTTTTCAATGACTATGACCATGTACTCACTGTATACACATTAGTATAACTCTTCAAGACACGGGCAAAATGAGGATATGATAATTTGTTAGTAAGATCAACAGAGATAATACCATCAAAACTGAAATGTTATTACATTAAAATGTCTAAGGCAACCAGTATCATTTTCCAGAAACTCATCCAGGAATGGCACTCATCCCAGTTCTCTAAAAGATACTCATCACATTGATTACCACTTTGTGAGGCAATAAGGACCTGTCTCCACTTGACACTTAGGAGTCTTTGAAATTCCAAAGAATTACTTGCCCGCGATCACACAAGGAGTCAGGAGTACAGCGGGATAAAGAAACCTTCCCAATCCATTAGACCACGCAGCCTCCCAGTTTCAGCACTGCTATGCTGCCAGTACTCCTGAAACAAATTCCCCATCACCCATCCAACCCACCCACATCCCTTCACCAGAACGCTTTTCTTCAGCAAGCCCTTCTTCACCACCTAAGGCTCCCCCAACAGTGAGGCAGCCGTAGGTGGAGTTCACACATCTCACTGCAGGAATCTGAGACCAGGTGCACCTACATCTTCATAGCACGAAGTGTCCATCCTCTCCCTTGATTTATATATCCTGTTTTTTCATGAAATCAGTGGTTCTCAAATAGATCCTGTGGATCACCAAAGGCCACCAGGGCCTACATGGTGGTCCACAGATAATAACTTCCATTCCCTCCCCAGCCCCTCTGCCACCCTTCAGCACTTCCCACCCCACATTCCAGCCATCCTCCCCCAGCTTTCCAGTCCCATGGCAAGTTCAACACATGCAGTGCTAACACTAGGGCCTCCCAACCACGCGCTATAATCAACAGCAGACCACCATATAGGAACCTGGGGCTGGAAGTCACAAGAGGCATGAGGAGTAGGAGCCAAGGGATCTTAGAGGAGGGTGCAGGCACTACTGAGAGGACAAGGACAGAGGAATAAGGAATGGAACATTAGGGTGATAGAGGGGTTGTGGGGTAGTGATCCACCAAAAATAAACCTGTAATAAAGTATCCCATGATGAAGAAAATTTGAGAACCACTGCTTTGAAATGATTAGGTTAGTAGTCCAACAGGAACTGTGGAATATTCTGAACAGCACCTGACATAGCATTCAAAACACAGTTAAATAATCACCCCCACCAAAACCAGTAGCAGCAGTGAAGAATAAATAAAAATAACCTTGGAATATAAACTGAGCGGCTCTTGAGCCATATCTATATATTTGCCACTGTCTCATGATTCCAGTCCATCTTCAGTGTCCATCCTGGAGTATATACACACAGCAAATTTATTCAGGAACTTTTGGTTAGAGTCACGGGCCTCTTCATGCATTTTTTAATAAAACATTTTCCCGATAAAAAATTTAACAACAATGTACTCTGACGCTTTCATATGTGGCATATATTGTGTACCTTTTTAATCCAGGCTTGAGCGCCAGTATTGGCCAGCTGTTCTTGTGTCAGAACCTGTACTCCTGTACTTCCTGTGAACTGCCCAGGAATGGAGTTCAGCTGAGCCCAGGCATCAATCTGGAAAAAAAAAAAAGCTGCCTTAACTAAGGAAAACTTACCTGATTAAAACATCGCTGGTAAAAAAGAGAAAGTCACTAGTAATAATATATAAAATAATAAAGGAAAATGGTTTCTTTCCTACAAAGGCTGAAAGTATTAAACTTTAAAAAAACTGATGTTATACATATTTAACCTATTTATGTCAAATATTGCATTTTTAAAATTTTTACATGAAATTCACGTTACCTAGAAAAACTCGGGCCAGAGATATAGCTCAGTGGTATAAGGGCTTGCCTGGCAAGCCTGAGGTCATGAGTTCAATTCCCGGTACCAAAATAAATAAATAAATAAATAAAAACTAGAAAAGCTCTAGGAACAAGAAAACTCATTATGCTCCATTGTTATGAGCATTCCAAAAATGGATCACTAGGCACTGAAGGGTTAAACTAAATGTTTTTTCTGAACTTCCTGAATTGAGTCCCAATAATATCAAGATATGAGGTGTTATTTCTAAAATATCATGGAGATGCATGAAGAACAAAGTTGGCAAAGGAGTCCCTTTTCCTTTTTTTTGTCTTTTTGAGAAAAGATTTTACTATGCAGTTCAGGCTGGCCTCGAACTCACAACAATCCTCCTGCCTCAGCCTCCCAAGTGCTGGGATTACAGGTGTATGCCACCGCACCTGGCCTAGGATTCCTCCTTTTTTAATCTCTCATAAAAGTGCATTGTATAAATACTAACACAGCCTGGATTTTTAATTACTTTGAAATATTACACAGATGATTAAATAGTCCATTCAAATATAACTGTGGTCCACATCACCACCATTTATTGTGACAAATAATCTGCTCTCAACCATTTAAATTGTATTTATTGAATACCTAGTGTAATCAACAATGTTATTTCCTGCCTGAATAGGCACAAGTTTCTATGTAGATTTACCATACAAAGATAAAAGAGAAATGGAAAAAGTGTCCATTCTGCAGAGTCCCTGGGTTTGAATCCGTTTCCCCAACTTTCTAGTGTGACCTTGGCTGTCACTTAACCGACCTTAATCACTGCTTCCTTAACTGAAACACAGAACTATTAACACCTACAAACTTCATATGGCTCATGTGGGCACTTAGCTGTTTTTATACACTAGGTTATAAATTGTTTTTTGGTTATAAACTCTTAAAACAGCTGAGAATTTTTAATCTTATTCTTTCAATATAGTACATAAGGAACATTAATTGAACAATCAGGCCCCAAATCACTTTCATTTAAAATAAGCCAAATGATTAAGATAAATGGCATCACAACTTAGGATGTTCTCGTATCTTAACTATCTAGGACTTGAAATTCTTTTTTTTTTTTTTTTTTTGTCTTTTTGAGATAGGATTTCACTATGCAATTCAGGCTGGCCTTGAACTTGAAGTAATCCTCCTGCCTCAGCCTCTAGCTGGTGTGTGCCACCACACCTAGCTAGGAGAGAAAATTCTTACTTACACATTAAAACTGCCACATACCCGTTCTTGAGCACGGTTTAACATGCTCATGGCTTCAAGATCAAATGCATTCTCACTGAGTCTTTTCTGAGCAAGTGCACGTTCACTCATTGCAGTAGAGATGTCCACAGGCTAAAAAGAAAACATAGATAATTATCTTAAATTACCATAGCCCCCTAAATTGTGAAAAGTGTGCCTATCTTTAGTTGTTATATGTAAGAAACAAAAGTCTTACATAATAATAATCTTCTAAAATGGGAAGACTCAAAAAGGTAACTTTGCAAAGTAGAGGATTAGTATCAGAGATAGTATAACCCAGTCCAAACTCTGATTTCAGTGGATTTTGTGCAGCACCCAATCATAATCATATAAAGTTTCACTAAGAACTTAAAAACTCTAAACTTCACCAACAAGGCATTTACTATACAGTAAGAATCTTTTGAACTATTGTAAGTTACAAACCCTTTAGTTTTCATGGTAACCCACCTATTACTATAACCTTCAAAAACAATAAGCAAAGTTCCTGAGCAAACAAGTAGAAAACCATTATAGTGTCAATGACCACGTTTCACTCATCAGCACATCTTTGAGCTTCTCAAAGTTAAGCACAGACATAGTTTGGTCTGAAGAATCCCATTTCTTCAAATATATAAAGCATGTAAGTCTTGTTTTCAATTTATATACTTTCACTATTAAAATTGTGGATGTCCATATCTTCTAAGGCAGGCTTAAATAAGATGCTTTTAAAATGTTAGGTTCTTCTCAAAGGTCATATTCTACCTTTTAAAACCTTATGCTAGGACTTGAGATGCTGCTCAGTGGTACAGCAACAGCCTAGCATGCTCAAACCCCAGGTTCAATCCTTGCCACTGGAAGACGGAGGGAAAAACTTTGCTAAGATCCTTTCAACTCTTTAAAAATGTAATCCTTAAATTGTCCATCTGTCAGATCTGTGAAAGGCTTTACCATAGAAGAAAAACCAACGAAGTTTCTGGAGCTTTGTCTAAATTAGGAGCTCACTTTTATTTTTATCAAATCTTCATTTTCTTTTATAACATCATTTAACCCATTAATATTTTTTAGTTATTTCACAAGAAAATTCACTTTTGTAAAATATTTATCCAACATAGCAGGTTTTGCTGTTTTCACACAAAATAATTTCTAGGTACTTCATTGAAATGACAAATATAAGGAACTCAAATAGTTAAGTATTTTTTAAAAATAGAAGCTAGCTGCAATTAACACTATTTTGTACAAAAACCATTCTTTTAAAAATGATTATGTAGTAGAGAAGGCTACATGACTGAGAGTAATTATGTATTATGTATAATAGGTATCTGTGAATTCTCCCCTTCCTACCTTTACTTTTATTTTCACTGTTATTCTTAGTTATCTTGCTGCTGAATCACCTGATTCCTTTAAATCGAGTTTCCCAAGTTTTCATGTCTTCTTAAAATGGAATTAAAATTAAACTGAAGTAATTATCTACTTACACTTTATAGATCTCTCGAAAAGATCTTGCTTAGTCAACTAAATTATCCACACAAATTAAGAATATTGTAAGAGTACTGTAAGGACTACAGGAAAGATTTAAGCGAAGTCAGACTCAAACACTAAAAAAAGTAATTATGTGCACACTCACTTCTACTACTTTATTACCACAACTCAAATCTCTTCTGTGTGAGTCCAGGGACTTAAAATGGGAATCCAGATATTTTCAGGCTAAAATTGGTTATCTCCTAGGCCTACCCTCAATGTTTCCTGCAACTGTCAAGTGGTATTAATCAAGGTAATTTTTGTTTTTTGTTTTTTTTTTTTTTGGTTTTTCTCCGGTACCGGGAACCGAACCCACGACCTTGCGCTTGCCAGGCAGGCGCTTTGCCGCTGAGCTAAATCCCCAGCCCCAATCAAGGTAATTTTTGAAGGCCTGGAAATTGAGAAAGATACTGTTTCGTGACCTTCCCAGAATTACACTGTGGTTTTCATAAGCAAACTATGAGTATCGGTGTCAGGATGCTTAGGATGTTGTTATGGAAAGGGTATTCTGTAACACTACCAGAGAAAACATGTCTATTCACAACAATCCTAACCCTAACCCCTAATCTCTAACTATAAATTAGCCATAAAAACACACTTAGATGATTCTGGAAATGTTTCTTAAACATACCTGTGAATTCATCCTTCTAGAGTTATGTTAGATCTTCGAACTCTGTATCTCTTTAGCCCTAAGAGATAACCTAAATATTTCACAATTTATCCTCAGAATGAAACTTCCTTCATCTCAATATTTCATACTTCATATCTAACTCTGCTTTAAATTTACTTTTGATAAAATTGTAACTTTTTTCCCTGAGAATACAACTTATTCTTCAGCAGACTTACCAAAGCTGCAAGTTCATATCAAAAATTTATTTCCAGATAATGACTTTTAATTTCGTATTTTTAAATGTGAAAAAACATACTCAAGATGGAATAAATCAAGATTTACTTAACTTAAGATCCTCAGGAGTTTACAAATCAAAAAGCCTGTTTTCCAGCTTTTCAAGGTAATTCATGTTATGCAGTAATCCATTTAAAAACTATAATCCCCAAAGCACTAGCATTGAAGGGTCACAATGGGTGTTATCTATCAGCATTGAAAGTCTTAAAATAGCACAGGTACCATCTAAAACAATACTCTCAACAGAACTTTCTGCTGTGATAGCTTCTGAGCGCTTGAAATGTGGCTAATGACTAAGAAACTAAGTTTTTAGTGGCTGTTGACTACTACACTGGAAAATGGTGATTTAGAATCTTGACCATCCTTTAATATTATTCAGAAGCAGGCCATGTGAGAAAGGGACCAAAATGATGCTAAATGCCCTTCTACAAATCAAGAAACAAGAGAATCTTAAATTTCTGTTTAATCAACAAGCCTTATGTTTCCACTGATTAAAAACTAGAGTTATTTAATCTCCGCCTTGGCAACCATAGTGGTCACTACTTCTAAAACCCACACAGACTGTCAGATATAATGAGATACACAATGCAGTTGGCACCATGTTAACATGCATTTCACGACCTGTATATGTTTACCTTATATATCTTTCTCATTTTAAAAATCCTCCTAAATCGACTTACTCCTATTTTGCTAACCTAACTTTATATAAATAGAATAAGGAGCTTAAGACTTTTGTAAGATGTCAGTGTAAGGATATAAATTTGTTAAATTGTTCGGATGGGTTAAGTGATACAGATATAATACTGATATGTCAAATTAAAGGAAGGGATATGGGGCTGGGGATTTAGCTCAGTGGCAAAGCGCCTGCCTGGCAAGCACAAGGTCATGAGTTCGATTCCTGGCCGGAAGGAAAAAAAAAAAAAGGGAAGGGATAAAAGGAAATTTTCAGCAAAAGAACTAAAGAAAAAGCATCTGGTCTATAACAGAAAGTATTTAGCAAAAATTATTTAAAAATACAAGTTCGTGTATAACAGAAAAAGCTTCAAAAAGAAAAGGCACTAAGTACAGAATGTTCCAGTTATACACTGAATTGGCCTTTTAAAAAGAGAATTATGAATTTATTGTATCATTCAGAATTGTCTAGTGTAACTCCTAATCAGACCAATCTAAATGTGAGGGAAAAATAGATTACGTATTTTAAGTGCCTTAAGAAATTCAGTTCGAACCACCTAGAACAACGTAGGTAAATAACAAAGCTATCCATTACACACCCTAGCAATGCATTTAATTTCCAATTAAAATGTGTTACTCCAATTCATATGGCTTTCCTAAACTTTGCCAATTCAGTTTCTAAACTTAATTTGTTTCACTGAGATGCAAAAATGTTTCACTAATACAAATCTAGCAGACTGCTTGCAGTAAAGATGACCTGAACATCTAAGCAATCACTTGAGCTGGCCCTCTAAACATCTGCTATTAAACTCAAAAACTTCACACTGAGGGTCCTGAGTAAAGTTACTCCTCTATTTACACTTATGATGAAGAGTACAATTAAATCTACTAACCAATGAGCCTTTGGTAAGCCTTATTACCACAAATACATGATGACTATTTTCTAAATATTAGCTTTCCAACTTTTATTTCAGTGTTTACAAATCAAGTATCAAAGCAGTTAAATTTCTGTAATCACTCCTGACTGAGGATGACCCTGGCTGATTTCTGGATAGGAAGATGATGCTATGGCAGGACACATAGACCAATGAATGAGTTGTTTCTCCATGAAATATGGATTTATGCTAATTCATCCACAGTGTCTAACCACTCATGTGAAAGAGCACTCCTAGGCCAAGTAACTGGTGGGATCAGGGATTGATTCAGCCCTTGTGGATATAAAACCTGAAATCTTTGCCTAGATGTTTTAGGGTCAAAACTAACAAAACCACAAATTCCGTTTATTTTTTTGTAAATGATAAATTAAAAATAAAAATTCAGTTAAAAAAATTGACCATTTAAAAGAACTTTCCTTTTAATCTAGAGAACTTTTATTTCAAGCCCTAATGTAATCAGAAGGATCAACGCACCCATGAAATATAGAAGTATCCCACAAACATTGGTATATAGAATATTAACTTTACAAATTTAATAAACTTAGATGATAGCAAAGAATTCAGGTTTTTTATGTTATGAATATTTCCTCTGAGTGTTTAACATTATTGCTAAGTAAAAGTGCAGGTTTGAAAGTAAATCACAATTGTGTCCCTTTTTTCCCTAAAATTTTGACTTTCTTTTGTTTAGAACTGAAGATAATATATTCTTTAAATCTAATCCTCTGATAGTTTACAATTCCATTATCAAACACTATTTATCTTTCAGGAAGAGATATCTTCTGTTTCCTTCATTTAGTCCCTGGAATACCTTTTTTTTGTCTTAATGAAAAGATTTCTTTTTTATAGCAACAGAAAAATTCTGTTCAACTTTTCATTAAAATCTGACAACCACTTTTGAGAGATGAAGCTAAAGTATCACACTGTCAGTTTTAAAACAAAAAACCAACTGAGTACTAAACTTTAAACACACAAACATATTCTGTTATCCAAAAACAAGTGCAATGAGGATTTAGTAAGCACTTTCCCCAGATTCAACTGCGGGAAGTCAAGAGTTTTCTTCTCAGGAAACTCTTGGAATTCTGCAACATTAGGTCTTCACCTCACTGGCAAATTATTCTTTGAAAGAATCGCCCTAGCTATGTTTGTTTAAATACTTAATCTGCAATAAAGTAGTATTTTATAGCATATCAGGATTTCTAATAAGTCTGCACAACCCTCTTATCATGGTTTATTTATATTCAGCTACTACAAGAAGATTAAGTCAGCTGCAAATGTCCATTAACCTTTCCCTCTTGAGATGTGCAACTAGCCTAGTTTGGGGATTAACAAGTGAGCTACTCAGTTGGTTCACTAAAATACTGTCCAAACCAGCTATCCTTCCTCTCACTGGTGATGGTATAACTTGCTTCAATTGTTGAACTCCATGTGAATACACACCAACATATATGACTGTAAGCTGTGCTGGCTAGTTATGTCCAGTTTCACCGTATAGAATGTGTTTCCTTTTCAAAATGCCACCAGTCAAGAAACAAAACAAAAAACCACAGTGAAAATGTCACCTGTGAATAGCTTGGGAAAAAAATATTGCTATCAAAGTTTCTGATTTGGGTTCTGTTTACTTTCTGATTTTATAGCCAGGACTTATTTGTAGAACTGGAAGTGTTCGCTTAAAGATGATATGGCCAACGTAGGGAATCTCAGTGAAGAGTAATAGTATAAGTCTCTCAAACTTTAAAGAAAAAAAAGAAGCCCGTAAGAGCATCTGATACCTAGTCCAATCCTTGGATGAATGTTAAGGCTTTGGAAACCAAGGGCTAGAGGTGATGACAACTAATCTATGGTATCATTTAAAACTCCCACCTCCCCTAGTTAAGTCTCCACCCTCCCCAATCCCCCAAGCGTGACTTTGCACAACAAGTTAAATAAAAGTAAACTGTTTATTAAAAGATACAGCAAAGGTACAGATACAGAGATACATACAAAGATACAGATATATATATATTTACATATATATACAGTCTTGCTGTTCTCATGTGCACTGTATTTAGCAGCACATTATCAGGCGGCATTTTAATGGGGTTGTTTTGACACTTGGCATTGTTAACTGCGTCATTTTGACAAGATACAACTATAGCCTTGTGGAAATTTCAATGCATGATTTCCACTTCTCCAACTTTTAATAGTAGCAAAGAGGGTAAGGAGAAGGGAATGGAATACCAAGGCTGACACTAGGTTAAACACAAGAATTCAAAAGGGCCAAGGTAGCACAGAGGGTAAAACAATTAAATTTAAAGGCTATCTGACAAACAACCCAGAGAAATAAGAAACCATCAGTTAAGGGCAATGGGCTATGTACCCAGGATGTTCACATCAACCTAAATGACCATTTCCAATCCAGTTCTTGTGTTGAACCTGAGGATCTGCCTCTCTTCGCTCAAGCCCTCCACCCAAAAAATTTGCTACCACCAAAATCTAGAGCTATAGAGTCTTGAAGCAAAACGGGAAGCTAAATAGTTGTACCTTGGGCTACCTTCCCACAAGTGCATGGAGGGCCCAATGTTGGGTAGGGATGTGATAACACTTTTCTCTGCAATTCGATGCTTTTCACTTTGTGGTTTGTTCCCACAAAGTGAATTGCATCGAGTTACTGTGAAATGAGAAGCTGCGGGTTGTTTCATCTGTCGTTTAACCCGGCCCTGCCGTTTAACCCGGCCCTAAGAAGAGTGAAACAGAATCCAAATCAGATATAAAGTAACAATAAAATGGCAGATTCAGGTATTAAAAAAAGGAAAAATACAAAATATTATTTTTACTTACCTCCGAGGGCAAATTGCTGCTGAAAACATTATCGTCATCTTTGTTTTCTTCACCATTTTTCTCTACAGGAACCCACTCTCCATAAACACTGTCTGCTTCTTTTTTTCGATGCTGAGATCCAGATGACACAGGAAATTCCTTTGTCAGTGTTACCTGGCTTTTTGGTGGAGTTGGTTTTGCTGCAGCAATCTTCAAAAAAGAAAAGTTTCTTAAGTAAAACTCAATGTATAAGTGGACATTTTTTAATTTTCTTTAATTGAAGGGGACATCATTCTATCATCTCACAGTATTTAAAAGCAAAACTTAAACTAAACTCCACTAGACTTTACTTAAGTCATTCTATGAGTTGTTCTACTTCATAATCTACACTAACAATCTATTTCATATAAGCACTAATACTATGTCATATAAGCACTAATACTCACATTTAGATTGAAAAAAATGGGCTTGGGTTCACTGAGTTTAAAGGGATGATGATAAAAAGGAGGTTCTTCTTCCTCTTCATCCGAAACATGAGGTTTATTCACTATTACATCATCATCTTCTTTACTCTGTGCAATCTGTTTGCATTTCTTTAAAAGTAAAAACAAACAAAAGATAAATCTTATAGTTTGTTACAGAGTAACATGGAATTTTTAGTGTACATAAAATCACCTTTCAGAAGTAAATGAAATTATTGTTAGCTTATTAGCTATTATTTAAACACACTGATCAGTCGGTCAACAACATTTATTGAGCACCTACTATGTGCAGAGCACTGTACTGGGCACTGTCTGGGGAATACAAAAAAAAAAAAAAAAAAAAAAAAATGTAAAAGACATGGTCCCTGCTCCCATGGAGCTTACAATCTAATACAAGAGACAGAATACATATACATAAAATAATTGAACGTTTTTTACAGAGCAACACAATAACAAGTGCAAACTGATATATTACAAATTGGGTATATAAGTGCTAAAAGAACAAAAGCTTAAAGAATAGAGTCAGGCAGGGCTTGAGAATCAAAGACTATTCCTTGAAGAATTCTAAACCATATTTTTCAGGGTGAAGAACCAGAACTGGTAGGGAAAGGAAAAGTCATCTGGTCAGACGGTGGTAAAAAGGCAAAAGAAAATTTGTTAGAAGGAACAAGAGCACGGAAGATGACGCTAAAAACAACAAATATCAAGTGTTCACAGGGTTTTAAATAATGAACTTGGGTTTTGTTAAATAATCCAATAAACGCTTTTGCAAGGTCCTTTTTTAAAATTATTAATTCTTACTGTAAAGTAAGTATAAATGAGGAAACAGATTTTTAAAATTTATAATCCCCAATGAATGTTAAAATAAAAACCTGAAACACCTGCGATAGGATCAGATAGTATGTCTCTCCATAAATGTTCTTTCTGTAGATTGAGTCTTTTAAGGAATAAAACTTAGGAATGGAAAATAAGGCATAATGGAAAGGATGCAACTGATGCAGCCTGACACATAAACCAAAGCCAATTCCTTCCTGAGAGGCAAAGGAACAGACTCTTACTTTACTTTATAAAAAGGTCAGAGTAAATTTGGGAGGACCTGTCTTTATATAAGCAGAATTAATCACATCTACTAGCAATTGAAAATATTACAATAGAATAAAAAGCTCAATTAGCCAAAAACACAGAGTATACCAAGCATGTAACCAAGAGAAACACAATATATTGACAGTGGTAGGCTGGCATAAGGCTAGCCAATAACAAGTTTCAATATATGAAACAATGTGGTATTTCTGGATCCTAGCAGCAGTATTTCAGCATCCCCCCAAACATAATAAAACAAAGCCTCCCCAAAAAAGCCTCCATTGAAAAGATCCAATTTTTTAAAAACAAAAATAAAGTGTATTTAAAATATATGTACTGCCAAAACCCGAACCGCAGGAAGAACTGATAATGGCCGGCCATTATCGCCAATGGCTGGTACCAAACAGCCAAAACCCGAAATGTTGATGCGAAAGAAGTTCCTTTCAGGCAATGGCCAGCTATTGTCAATAATTTCCAAGCTCCGGTGGCAAAAGATCATTTCTGAAGATTGTCTGTGTCTTTGCGTATATGCAGTACACTCGTGGCGATCAGTGAACACGTCGTGAATGGAAACGAAACTGTAGGCGAGCTTCTGCGTGTTGCTCACTCAACACCTCCTCCATTCAAACGAACGGTCCCACTCCTCAGTCAGTTTGGCTTCTAAAACTGGAAAGCAAAAGTAATGGGAAGTAACTTTTAGCTAGCGGAGCTTAGCCATCCCGGATAATGGCCTGCTAAACAGAGCTTCTGCCGCTGCCACATCTGTATTTCGGGTTTTGGCCACTCGGTGCCAGCCATTATCAGTTCAGCCCACAATTCGGGTTTTGGCACGCTCCAGAGTCAACATCCCTGGAATAATCCACTTAAGAATGACAACAAATTCTGTCCAGCTTACCTCAGTTAGTTCTTCTATAGTAGCTCCTCCTGACTTTTTAGCAACTTTCTCTTCTATTGTAGGTGGAGGTGCAGGCTTTAGGTTTGGCGGTAAGGGAACACCAGCCTTAGCACACATGGCAGCTGCATTAGCTTTGGCTATTTCAAGTAACTGTGCCTTATCTGTAAAAGGAAAAAAGTAAGAAGCAGTTTTCCTAAAAGGTATAAATTTTGTACTATTAAGTTTCATTTTCTAAAAACATTCAAAGCATCAATTTTCTGCCCTACATTATACCTGTGATCAAACCACTTTCTGGCTCACTTTTCAAGTGGTGATCCTTATTTAAAGAATTGACTTTCCATTAAAATATTACATAAAATAGCTAACTTTTTACAAAACTGTGACAATCATACAGCCACACCAGATTCTAACACCTAAACCTGCCAAAGCCAACTTAATTTCCCAAATTATGATGACCTTAAAAGATGCTCTCTTAACCTGACAACTTAAATCTCTCTTTGAGCCCAAAGTGAAGTTCCATCTTTTTTCTTTTTCTTTTTTTCTTTTTGAGACAGGATCTCACTATGCAGTTCAGGCTGGTCTTGAACTCACTTTATAGCCCAGGCTGGCCTCGAACTAACATCCATCCTCCTGCATCAGCCTCCCGGGTGCTGGGATTACACACATGCACCACCACTACCACAATCACCACCCCGCCCACGCAAGTTCCATCTTTTCTAACACATCTTTGTAAGCTAGAATTAACATTCCTCACCATGGTGCTCCTTAAGTTCTTCATCGACACCAGCACTATAGCAATCATCACATTCTACCCTTTTTGGCAGTTTTCCCTTTTGGTAAAAAAACCACATACTTTTTATCCACATCTCCTTCACAAACTTGTAATCACTTTGGCAACTGCACACAGTTCCCCTCCACATGCAATATGCACACATCAAGTACTCATCTCTTCATACTACTTTAAATCAAGAAAAATTAGAGGATTTAATATATGCTACCTTATTAAATAAGAAACTTGCTTATGTGCAAGGACGTTGGAATACAGAACAAATGTACACTGGTCTTGTTTTTCACTTAACAGGACTTTTCCATCTGTTTCTACTTTCTATTTTTGGCTAAAGACAACTCAATAAAATAAAATATTCAAATATGAGGGCTGGGGATACAGCTCAGAGGCACAAGTGCCTGCCTGGCAAGTGCAAGGTCCCAAGTTCAATTCCCGGTACCAAAAAAAAAAAAATTCAAATATGAAAACACTCTGGAAGTAATATACTCCAAAGCAGGTCTTTTTCATTGTAATCACATGACAGCCTGTTTTTCTAAACAAAACCTCACTCATTAAACCACCAGAAAATATTCCATTTGATTCAAAAACACAAAAACTAAGGTTATTTTCTATTACAAAATTTTCAAAGCATGACTCACCCAAATCTGTCAGACGTTCTCTTTCAGAAGACCTGGATCTTTTACGTCGGATGGGAGATCTACTAAATCTTCTTCTTAAGGGTGTTCTTGATCGCCTTAATCTGACTGGTGATATACTGAAGCTTCGTCTTCTTACCACAGACCTTGATCTCCTCCGACGGCTAGGGGTGCGGCTCCTTCGGCTGGGGGTGCGGCTCCTTCGGCTAGGGGTGCGACTCCTTCGACTGGGGGTACGGCTCCTTCGGCTGGGGGTGCGGCTCCGGCGACTAGGGGTGCGGCTCCGGCGGCTGGGGGAAATGCTAAAACTCCTTCTTCTTCCCACAGATCTAGACCTCCTCCTTCGGCTCGGAGTGTGACTCCTACTCCGACGACTTGGGGTTCGACTTCGGGCTCTTCCTGTCTTTCGGTTATCCCTAGAGCTTGATCTTTTTCTTTTTCTTTCCCGGGACTTGGATCTGTGCTTTGGAGATCTTTTGCGCTTCTCTTTTGATACAGATCGCCTTCCTCTAGACTTTGATCTTGACCTGCTGCTCCTCCTCCTTCGCCTTGAACGTGACCGTGAACGTGTCTGAGATCGATGAGACTTGGACTTAGATGATCTCTTCCTCGCCCTGGAACGAGACTCACTGGTCCGCTTGCGGGACTTGTGTTCAGAGGACTTGGAACGCTTACTCCGAGATCTTAAGGATGAGTCTCTTTTCTTTTCTTTCTCACCTTTGTCACGGTTTTTATTTTTCTTGCTTTTTTCATGTGTGTCCTTAACTTTTACAAAAATTTCATAATCATCTTTTTCCTCTGAAGACGACTCGGAAGCTCTTTCTGGTATACTAATTACAACTGGACTGGCAGCTGATTTGTCACGTTCAACTTCACTTGGAAGTAAAGGTCCTTCAATACCAGCCCTAAGGCTTGTAAGACGTTCCATGTCCTTAGGAAGTAACGGTCTCACTAAGTCCGCTTCATTAATTTCATCAATGTTAGCACAAAATCCTGAATCAGACACTACCTCTTTGGCAGAGAGAGGTACTTCTTCTCCACTTTCTTTAGGGCCGAGAGCAACTGGTAATGTCTGGTCACTCTCTTTTACAAATAAAGGTTCTTCTGTATCCTTACTAACAAGATTATTAGATGGTAAATCAAGATGAATGTCTTTAGCAGGCAAAGGCCCCTCTATGTCTGCTTCACTAACACCACTGGGGCTGGTGGAAATTACCATGTCATGTTCAGTATCTTGAGCAGTTAAAGAAATGTCATCATAGTTATTAACAGCAGTGAAAGCAGGTGTCGTGACAAACTCAATGCCTTTACTAGCTCCTGCTGTATCAGATTCCAGAGCAAGAGGACCAGCAGAAGACAGAGTTCCTTCTCCATCAGTTTCACTAACACCAGGGCAGGCATCCAGCACTACGCATTGCTTAGTTTCACTGATGGGCAAAACTTTCTCTTCAATTCCACTAACAGTATCAGTGCTAGCAGTAGCTACTGTAGTACTTTCCATAGCTTTAGCAATTAAATGATTATTTATAGTAAGGTCTACATTTATACCATGTTCACTTTCGTGAGAGTCACTTTTCAGGTGCCCTTCAGCATGTGGCTCTTCACCTGAATGCAATGGATTCTCCTGCATGCCAATCTCCGGAGCAAGACTCTGATCATCAGATAATGAATTCATCCCTTTCATAACATGTGATGACATAAGACTAGATTCTGCTATCACTGGTGTAGATTCTACTGCTACCTCAGTTGATATTACTTGGGTCTGCTCTGAGACAGTGACAGCAGGCTCTGAAACTGTCACAGTATACTGCTGGACAGAAACACATGGTTCTGAAACAATCATCGCAGGCTGAAGGACTGACACTGCTGGTTCTAAGACAGGCACAGTAGGCTCAAGGGAAGAAACAGCTGACACAGGAACACTAACAAGCTCCGGCTCAGCCACACTCGGAGGCTCCACAACAGCCACAGCTGGTGGTTCTGGCTTTCCAGTGGCAGGTGGTTCTGGGGCAGCCACAGCAGGTGACTCTGGGAAAGCCATAGCAGGCGCCTGTGGGACAGCCACAGCAGGCAACTCTGGAGCTGGGACAGCAACAACAATCGACTCTGAGACAGCCATGACAGCAGACTCTGAAACTGCCATAGCCGGCATTTCCTGAATGTTCTCTGCTGGCTCTGGAATAGTTACTGCTGGCTCCACCAGGGGCACAGATGCCTCTGAGGCAACATGTCCTTCAAATTTCATAGACTCCAACGTTTCCATTGTCTCTGTCACAACTGGAGACTCTGAGGTTAACACAGATGCTTCAGCCAATATGGGAGTTTCAGATACCATACAAGTAACTGGTCTCTCTGGAACAATTTCATGTTCTGCTACTATAGCAGACTCAACAGGTGTTGATGTAACTGAAGTTTCTAGCTCTAGTGGTGGTTCTGGCATAGTCACAACAGCCTCTGACACTAATACTGAGGGCTCTGATCCTGACACTGAATAATCAGGCACTGCTGAAGGCTCTAAAATCTCACTTTGACTCACAGGAGGCTCAGGATGTGATACACTCTCTTCAGGAGGTAATGCTGGCATTTCTGCAGACCAAGTATTTTCAGCTGTCAAGGCCGACTGCTCCGTTGGTAATGCTGAACCCTCCGGCGGTTCTTCTGGAGGCAGTGGTGGAGTCATTGGTGGCTCCTCAGGTGGCAATGGTGGCATTGTTGGGGGCTCTTCAGGAGGCAAAGGTGGCACCATATATGCCTCTGTGTATGTGTCAGTGTAAGAATCAGTGTAAGAATCAGCTGCCATAGACATCATTGAACGATCAGCAGTATAAGATGACATCATAGACCGGTCAGCTGCAGAGTACGATGACATCATAGACCGGTCAGCAGCAGAGTATGACGACATCATAGACCGGTCAGCACCCATAGACATCATAGATCGATCAGCCATTGGGGACATCATGGAACGCTCATAAGCTGACATCATAGAGCGTTCATAAGCTGACATCATAGAGCGCTCAGCCATAGGAGACATCATAGAGCGTTCATAGGCTGACATCATAGAGCGTTCATAGGCTGACATCATAGAGCGCTCAGCCATAGGGGACATCATAGACCTCTCGTAAGACATCATAGAGCGTTCATAAGATGACATCATAGAACGTTCTGCAGCATAGGACATCATCATAGAACGTCTAGATGCTAACATCAGGGGTCTAGGTGCTAACCTATATGGCCTAGGTGCTATCCTATAGGACCTGGGTGCTATCCTATAAGGTCTAGGTGACATCCTATAGGGATCAGGAGTTAGTCTGTAGGGATCATGGCCTAATCTGTAAGGGTCCTGTCCTAACCTGTAAGCATCATGACCTAACCTGTAGGGGTCATGACCTAACCTATAGGCATCCTGAGCTAACCTATAAGGATCCTGAGCTAACCTATAGGGGTCAGGAGATTTAGAATCCAACATACCAGAATCCTGGGTACTAGATGCTAACATCTGAGCATCCATGGTACCAGACGCTAACATCTGAGCATCCATGGTGCCAGAAGCTAACATTTGAGAATCCATAGTGCCGGATGCTAACATCTGGGAGTCCATGGAGCTGGTTGCTAACATCTGGGAGTCCATGGAGCTGGTTGCTAACATCTGGGAGTCCATGGAGCTGGTTGCTA